CCTCTGCAAACAGCTTCGTTAAATCTGTTCGGATGAAGAATTTAATTTCGCGGAAACCCGGGCCTCGACCACGCAGACATTGGGTACCCAGGTCCGGGGGAGGAAAGTAATTAATTACGCAGTCTCGGTTCACGTATACTTCCGGTCCTTACGGACTCGTTTACGGGCGTCAATTTAGTAGAGAGCTTCGTACAGTAGTATGTACAGCCGACGGTAATTTTCTTTCATTATAAAAAAAAAACTCGATTGAGAAGAAAAGATAAACAAAAAATCATTCAGGAACGAAGTATTTACAGGTTCAAAATTATATGGAGTCGTATGGTGGAAGGGAAGTTTAAACTCACTCTTTGATGCATAAAAGTTGGATTGCAGTTATGTGAGTTGTTCGAAGAAGATTTTTTAAGACTACAGTCTTACTCTATGATATAAAATTATGTTAATATTTTAATTTATGTTATTATGCTATGCTATGCTATGCTGCTAATCAGAACGTTTTGCGCTGAACTAGATACCTATACTGCCGTGTAAAGAAAAATGCCGTTTGAACCTCCAGGCCTTGCCAAATTTCCTTTGATTAAATACACATGTTCGAGAAAACTTATGATTATTTTTCTTCCATTATCTCAGATTATTTTGTTCGCCTAAGGTTCCTGAAGATTTCAAGGAAAAATATTCACAAATCTTCTTAAAAATACACATTTTATCGTAGTAAAGTCGGCAACTCTCGAATGTTCATACGGCGTTTTTCCTCAGCACGGAAGTATTAAAAAGCATCAAGGGGTGTTTATTTTCAGCTTTAAAATATTAGTTTGGCATCAATGCATAGACAACTTAGTTAAACCGATGGATTTAGAGTTTCAACGCTCTCAGGTCATTAGTCGCGAGTCCCATCCCCCCTCCACCCTTCGCTTGTCCCCTTTACTCGTCTCATTGACTTATTGTTAGCGGGGGAAGTTCCAAAGGGGCGCTTAAGTTCTTCACAAGCTCCAAGGTCGTGACATAGTGTCAAAATATGGAGCAGTGGGCTCGCCGTTTAAAGCATTAAGCCTAAACATCTGCTTAATTCATAACTGGGGTAAATATAAAATGGTAATTTTGGTTTTTTTTTTGGGGGGGGGGTTGTCTTTAACCCCCACGAGTGTATCAAAATGAGTTCGCTCATATCGTATCGCTTGAGCGAGCTCATTTTGATAGACTATCAACAGGTAATTTTGGTGTTCTCAACTTATTTTACGACTTTTCATGTTTTTCACCGGTCTAACATTCCTCTTCTTTTCTTGTTTTGAGATTTGATTTTGATTACTATCACGTTAAAAAAATATCGATACTTTTCTAATTGTATGACTATCACTGAAAATAAAAGTTTGATGAATCCGAACTAGTTAGCAGCATATGGAATCAGGTTTTGCTCGGTACACACAACCGAATTATTTGGTCCGCTTGACCAAACTGTTCGGTCCGCTGAACTGAACTATAACAAAATCTTCTAGTTCGTTTCAGCGGACCGAACACGGTTTGTTTGAGCAGACGGAATAATTCGGTTTTGTGCACCGAACGAAACCTGGTTCCATATGCTCCTAACTAGTTCGAATTCACCGAAATTGTTTTTCAGTGACGGCTCTTTTTCTTTAAAACACTCGGTTTTCTTTCGCTAAATGCTGTCCATTCGATTCTATATGACGATTACTCAGAAAGCTGAATTCGATGAAAGGAATGCGAGCACCACAGAGTTGATATTTTCCAGGATTCGTATTTACTCGATTCAACCAGCCACGATTAAGTCAGCGACCAAGCGGACGGAAAAACACGACAAAACACTAAAAAAATCTATCAACTTGAGTCTGGAACGTTGCAGGGTTTCCCATCTCTAACGCAGATGCCGTATCCCATCCGAAAAGCCCCGCTTTTACGGGAGCTCTAGAGGGATGAGCTCTGCAACTACGCAACCTGTTCTCGAAAGTTTCCTCGGTCCACGAGCCCTATATTTTCTCCTGCAACGGGAAACAACCGTAAGTGAATTCCCTTGTGAGCCTCGAAGTGTATGAAGATATGTTCTAACTGTGACTCACGATGAAACGCGCACTTACGGCTGTTTTCCGTAGCAAGGCAACGTTTTCTCTTTCTTGTGACTCTGTTGAGGTAAGAAAAGACGCCGCATGAACCTTCGAATGATAACTGGAAAAAATGGTTAAAAATCATTCTTTTAAATTTGAATAAAATATATTTGATTTGAAGACAGTTTTTCGAAGGTCCAGATATTTTTCTATTTAAAACATTTAACATTAGACATTTAGGCATTTTAAACATTTTTGAGGGATGATAAGTTTTACGGTTCATTGGTTTTTTTCGTGTATTTTTATCGTATTGACAAAGATACATTTCTTTGAATTAAAAAAAAAAGAAAGGAAGAAAGAAAGAAAGAAAAACTTATATGAATTGAATGAACAATCTTCCTCCCAATAAATAAAAAATGTGTTTGCCTCAAGAAATTTATCGTTGGGATTTTAAGATTTTTCCGGATGTCTTGTCGAAAGAAACTTGGCAACGTTCACATGTTGATGTGGAGTTTTTCTTTTGCACGGAAGAACTCACATCTTAATAAGTTCCGATCTTCTTCCGCCCTCCTGACTTGGCTGTTTTTGATATCCGAGATTTTGAGCTATTCTTTGGTAACCGCGAACGATCACGTGCTCAGCTTTTTTGCGGGCGTATGTTTAGAGACTAGAGGCTGGAAATTGGGTGAAACTGTCTGGAAATTTGAATCGGGCCCGGGTTTGACGAGGGAGTTTTCCCACTCTAATGTGCTTCGCCAATGCGTGGGATAGACGTATCTGGCTGGTGTTGCGATGTGGCGTAGAAGTTGATAGTAGTGATGCATGCCTTTTCATTGACTGTCATATTTTTAAGCGGAAAATTCTCCTCAAGAGAAAGATCGTGGGTACAGAAAAAGTGTCAACATTTGTAGGTCACTACGTCACCAATGCTAATTTTTCAGAAACTTTGACACATTTTAGCTCCTTAGCTACTATCTGCAACATATCGTCACCTTCCAGGCAAAGTATCACAAGCGCCATGCGACGTTTAAAAATTTCCGTCGCCATTTTATTTTTTTACAGAGAAATTGTTCAACGAAGCTGTCCGAAAATATCACTGAATTTTCTTTGTGCTGCCGATACAATTTAGTGAAATTTCCAAACAGATTCAACCAACAATTTCTCTGTAAAGAAATAAAATGGCGGCGGAAATTTTTAAACGTCGCGTGGCGCTTGTGATACTTTGCCTGGAAGGTGACGATATTTTGAGAGGAGTTGTCACTTCCGTCGTTTTTGAAAAAATAAAATTACATATCTTAAGTCGCACTCTTTTGACCCTGTTTAGAGATGCACGTGTCCTTTCTTTTTTAATTTTGCACCTCTCCCCGCCCATCTGCTTTGCAATTTGCTAGTAACCATGGCCTTGACTACAATGCCGTGCTAAAGAAGAATGTCGTATGAACATCCGAGAGTTGCCAAATTTCCTTCAATGAAAAGTTAATTTTTGAGCAAAGTTATGCATATTTTTCCTNCCTGTAAGGCAGATATGACGGGGTCATTATGTGGGGGATTATTTTTCTTTCTTTATACGATTGATAAACTTTGACCCAACTTACTTCTCCCTTACAGGGGTAAGGGCCCCCCTTACCCCTGTATTGTCCCCCCCCCCTGGCCCGCTCCACTTTACTTGAAGCATTTTGCTCCCTCCGCAGCAGAAATGACGATGTTTTCGGTGAATAATTTTTTCTTATTCATATTTTTCAAGTTTCTCTTTCCACTTCTATATTTGATTTATTCTGTCCTAGGTACATTCTCTTCCGCTTTCTTCCAATTTTGAAGCACTAAAAATTACTTTTTCAACAGCAATTGGCACCTCACCAAAAATGTTTTAGGTAGATGAAAAATAAATAGTAAATAGATTAGATTTATTTACAGCATTCATAATACCTATCGCAAATGAATGGTGTGTGAGCCTCAGTAGAAGTGTTTCAGTACCTAAACATAAGTAAAAATTATTTGCCAGAGACATCGTCATTTCTGCTGCGGAGGGAGCAAAATGCTTCAAGTAAAGTGGAGCGGGCCAGGGGGGGGGGACAATACAGGGGTAAGGGGGGCCCTTACCCCTGTAAGGGAGAAGTAAGTTGGGTCAAAGTTTATCAATCGTATAAAGAAAGAAAAATAATCCCCCACATAATGACCCCGTCATATCTGCCTTACAGGAAGAAGCACTTGAGATGAAGTGTTTGGATTGCGGGGGAGGGGGTAAAAAGGGGAAAAGGGGGGGAGGACATTAAAATTGGTAAAATGTAAAGAAGAAGAAAAATCTCCAACAGAAAATACCATCATGACCGCGGCTTGGAGAGAAGAGATCAAAGTAAAGTCAGTAAGATGCGCTGACGGTCATGATAGTATGAATAAAGCCCCCCCCCCTCCCCGAAAAACCATTTGGGGCTTTGTGAAAGATGTGAAAAAATACTACAGGAATAGCTGAACAAATCACTGCAAACCGCGCTTCAATATCTAGATCTGATACCTCGTAACAGCCCGAGTTCGACATTGAAACACCTGCAAAAATGGGTGAAAATCGGGGACTTTGCCCCCCCATAACTCGGAAACGGTGCGTATACTCAATCTGAAATTTTAGAATATGTAAAGGGTCACCCTAAGGATGAAAAAAAACCTCACTCCGACCCCAATTTCGAGGGCCCAAAAATGGGCCACTTTGTGCATGGCTCTTTATCAACGCCTGTAGGTTTATGCGGTGCTTTTCCTTAGTAAGACAATACAAGCCTCTATTCATTTTACAGATTTCAATGTCACTCCCGAACCATTGTCGGAAGATTCAATCGTTCAAGAATCGGAGGAGCAAAACAGGTAACGTGTACAATGGATACGGATAGTTGAAACGTAAATAGGATAACAATGAATAATAGCCAATTGCCATTTGTCGAGCGCATATAATTCATTTTCCGTGCTACTTTTTCGCTGAAGATAAGAGATTATATTAAGTTCCACGCGGAAGCTGGGCTGAATGTCCGCAAAAACTATCCTCTTAATTTTTAGTTCATTCTTCAATATCGTTGGCTAAGTTAACGTACGGAGGTAAGTAATGAGAATGTTGAACTTTTTCCCTGCTTCCAGGATCAAATTGGTTGAGCTTACCATGGTTCCTTTTCTCTTGTTCTATTCAAATAATTTTTCCGCGGTTTGTAATGTCATATGCCGTGATTTTCAATTGGCGACATCATTACAAATATTGAACGTAGAAATTTGGTGCTGAGGTAGATCCTATGATTCTTATATAAAAGACTTATATAAAAGTTAAAACCATCAAAACACGATTCAGCGAAGTCGGAATCACACGCTGGATTCGGAAGCCAGAACTGAATATGGGAGTCATCGGTCGTTGCTCAACAGATTTAATTTCAAAAATATGAATTTTTTTTACATTTGTATCGCGTTTATTCAAATAGTTCTTATGGACTGAATACTGTTGAGCCCAGATCCTCATCGGTTGACCACTCGACACTCAACAAAGAACCGATGACTCCCACATTCAGCTCCCCATTTTCAGCGTGCGATTCGCCAGAATACCTCATGCAACTGATCCATTTTAGTTAGATGTAGTTAATGAACGCACCATGGTGTTGCAGTTGTTGAAAATTACAAGATGCATCTTTTGGAGACTCTGTTTTCACTGCCGCCCCTGCTGTACGCGCCCCTTCTTGTGGGATCCCTGTGCTTGGTGTTCAACTACCTGGTCTACTCGCGGCGCGTGGCCCAGTGGCGAAAGTCGAACATCCCTTTCCTGAGCCCGAGCTTCCTCATCGGGCACAAGTACTTCTGGGGCGTCGGGAGCAACTCCGCAACTGTCGTCCCCCTCGATCGCATCTACCAGGAGAATAAAGACAAAGACCTCGTCGCTTTCTTCGTCACCACCATGCCGGTCGTTCTGCTTCGAAAACCGGCACTTATTAAGCAGGTTAGTTTACGTAGAGTACCTGGCATGGGCGTATCTGAAATTTTGGAAGTCACGGAGCTCATCAGGGCCCCTACGAATTTAAAATATCAAAAATTACTTATTACTGCAATTAACACAAGTGGCTGTTTTAAAAATTATTGAAGCACGTAATGTTCGTTTTTTTTTCGCATTCATACGCTTAGTTTTTGAAATCAAAATCTGAAAACAACGTAATTTTCCAATGCCGGCTCACTGGAAAAAAACCACATTGAATCTAGAGTCCAGACTTTTGAAAACATTGACAAGAAAAAACACTCTTGATTCAATCGGATTTTTGCTTGAATCAAAACGAAATCCGCTTACATGAAGAGGCTTGGTTCTTGATTTTAGCTAGATTCTGATTGAATCAAGAGTACTTTTTCTTGTCGATGTTTTTAAGAGTCTGGACTCTAGATCCAATGTGTTTTTTTTCCAGTGCTTGTCATCTCCAATTGAGAGGTTTTTTATTTTCATTTTCCAGGTATTCGCGAAAAACTTCAACGAAGCGTTCGAAACCGGGTGTGCGGTAGACGATGAAAGTACACCGCACTTGCTGAGCCAATCTCCAAACAAAAGTCTTTGGAAGGCTCATAGAAACGCGCTATCGCCCATGTTCGCAACGACGAGGCTTAGCGGTGAGGGATTCGCCAAGATCAGGAGCCACATTGCCCACATGTCGGCCCATGTTGAGGAGAAGCGCCTTCAAGGAAAGCCTATCAGCACCAAAGAGGTTCGCATAATCATAGTTTAGCGGTTCTCTTACTTGGGACTTAAGGTGATCTGATGGACACAATATTTTGTGTCAGAACGGCATGCGATATATCGCATCAATTGGTTCCATTTTTTCAGCTACTGGTCATTTTTTTCCAACTTTGAGATCGCAATTCTGTTGTCAGGAGACTGAAGCACTCACTTACCAATTTTAACAAAGAAATTCAACGTAATAAAGGCGTAGTTTTTTTAAAGAGAAAACATCGCATTCGATACTGAAATCGAAATTGCACTCGAATGCGATGTTTTCTCTCTAAAAATACCACGCCTTTATTACGTTGAATTTCTTTGTTAAAATTGGTAAGTGAGTGCCTTAGTCTTCTGACAACAAAATTGCGATCTCAAAATTGGAGAAAAATGACGAGTAGCTGAAAAAATGGAACCAATTGATGCGATATATCGCATGCGGTTCTGACACAAAATAAGGCGTCCATCGAATCACCTTAAACTTACCTTTAAATACGGATGTATTAGCTTTGTAGAGCATAGTAATACTTTTTTCCGAGGGAACTATACTCAGCGCTCTGCTTTCATTATTTTCCAGGTGGCAATGAACTTTGTACAGGACATCATTTCCAACACCTTTCTTGCTTTGAACGACAACTCGTATGAAAAGAAGGGTGAACTTCGTAAGTTCCTTGAAAGTTTTACGGAGCCAGGGTGGAGCAACCTACTGAAAGTATTTGCTCAGCTGTACCTTCGAGGAATCTCGAAATTGGAACCTTTGCAGATCGTCACTACAAAGCACATTGAATCAATGAGGAGTTTGCTTCAGAAGCAGATGGAGCAGAGGAATCAGAGCGATGGCAATGAAAATGACCTCATCGATCTCCTCATCAGGCTCAAAGAACAAGACCAAGATAGGAAATCGGACTCAGGTATGGAGACATCCGTGTATTCAGGAACTTTTGTAAGTTGATTGCGAAAGTTGCAGAGTCCTTAGGGTCCCGATGTTTCAAGGTTATGGAGGTTTCGAGTCATAGAGGTTTCGAGTTACAGAGGTCTGCAATTACAAATATTGGAGACATGAAAGTTATTCATTGTATGATTGATATTTGAAAAAAATAGGAAGAATTTTAAATGGGTCTTTACTGCAAATGAAATTTTTAACATAACTTAGTTCTGCAAGGAAAATCTAATACAAATTACGTTAGAGCATCTGGAACATGTAAATTTCATTTACATAGTTTAAATTCAGAAAACGCAGTTGGCAAATTGTGATTTTAGAGATGAATTCCAGACATTCTTCAATCATACAATGTGCCTCACGTGCGGTACTGCCATGCATGGAAAAATCCACTTATTTGGTTGTGTTTCTAGTGTGCAACAAACGCAGTTGGACCGCATGTAGCAAAAAGAAACCAAGGCACATCAGGTATTGCCAAAAACCAGGGAATTTAGTTTTCTACAAGAGAACATTTGTGCAGATTCCTTTGAAAATTTTAAGGATTTTGCATCGTATTATATGCAGAAAATTCATTGAAATTTGCACAAAAATCTGCCTAACCGTTTACAAGTAAACCAATTTTCCAATCAACTTTATCCATAGCTGATGTGGCTTGGTTCCTTTCTGCATAACATGGTCCAATTAATATAAAAAAAAGTCTGAGCTTTTGCCCGAATGTAAGAGATATGTAACAAAGCTCAATAGCTTTTTAGGACACTAAGTAAATGGACGACCGAAATTATTTCTCGGTGTTTTCTCTGAGCATATGTATACATTTTAATTACAAGTAGTTAATATTTATAGAGATGGACGTCACAAATGAAATGATCAGTCTCGGATTGTCCTTGCTGCTGGGAGGTAATCTGGGCGCTGCTGTAGTCGACAACATGATGAGTTTTACCATGCACCTTTTGTCCCTCTACCCGGAGTATCAGGAGCGAATAAGACAAGAGGTGGAGGAGGTCATGAAAAAGCACAACACTACAGAATTTACTTACGAGGTTGTTCGCGATCTTCAGTTCCTCAACCAGTGTCTACGCGGTGAGTCCAAAAACCTTATGACCGTCCTTTCGTTCCAACTTTTCGCATACGTATCAGTCAGTGGCGTGGCGTGCTTTACGATATATCGATTGATCTATCATTTAAACCTAAGGAAAAGGATCGATGAACAGGGTGTTCGCAGCGAACACCTTAATAATCGATTCTTCACCATAGCCTCAAATGGGGAAATATCGATAATCGATCATTTACGCCACGCCACTGGTGTCAGTTTTTATTCCAGAGTAAATCAATCACTCGGGATGATTATAAAATATACAAAAACAAATAAGTAAGGTAGTAAGGTAACTAAGCTAAAACGAAATTAATTAAGCCGTATGGTTTTGTCTGGGCATCCAGCCATCCTCAATTGCGTGGAAAAAAAGGGAAAAATGATAAAAATAAATTCTAGTCTCTACAAAAAACTAGTACCTTGAAGCACCTTTCAAACAAGAGAAATAAAAATATCTTCATATTACATCTATTGTGAAAGATACTGTGGTGCTGATATAAAGCGATTTGTTTGAAATAAGCTACTAGGTTTCCTTTCCATAGGAATTTTTAATTTCATTTTCTTATTCAACAAAAGATGGCTGACCTCCCACCTCAAACATTTTGGATTCTTTAATCGTGTTATAGCTTTGTTGCCCCCGTTCTGTTTTTTGTATAAGTCGCCCGCGATTAGCAAACACCGAGAATTTACAATCTATGAGTGCTGAATGGAAAAATTTAAAAATTAAGAGACGAAATTGGAGGCACTTATTATGAGGCTTGGAATTGAAATATGTATACTTTTTCTTCTTCTCAATATCATGGTGCCAGCACACAAATAAGTGCGCTTAGTAAAATCAGCGACCCCAGTTGGGCTCGGTTTGCGGATCGGTACCTAAAACTAACTGCGCGGCGAAGTGGTGAGTATCATTGAAAATCGAAGGCGCAAGCCGAAATTAGGTTTTGAAGTCCTTTCCCCATTAAACTTTTATCATGCTGATGCGAATTGATGAAATTTAATGAGGCAGTAGGCATGCCGCTTGCCAATTCCTGGCGATTACTAAATGATTGTGAAATATCATATTTTTATTGCATTGTCTTTGTTACGGTGTGCTACGTAGAAGCATATCTCATTTTATGTTTATCGAAACGTTTTTTCGGTCAAAACTATGGAGGCATTTCTTTTATACTTCATTCAAACTTAAGATTTAGATTGGGTGCCACCTGGGAGAAGTTGACGGGGAGTCGGGAACGTCCCATGAATCGATGGCTACAGGTGAGAGATGTTGCGATGTCAATTGCCCGATAACCTCTGGGAAGCTTGACACGAGGCGCTTGGATGTCGCAGAACTTCAGAGTGCAATGTAGGAGCAACTTTTATGTAAGTGTCATTTAAACGCATGATTAGTTTATTCTTCCTTCTCCTAATTTCAAATTTTCACGATTCCAGAAACGGCACGCCTATACCCTAATACCTCAGCGTTATCGAGGGTCTGTACGGAGGACTTCACGCCAGCTGGCACAGACTATAATTTCAAGAAAGGCGAGCGTATTGTTGTCGACCCTTACTCCATCCATCGGGATCCAGAATACTTCGAGAACCCGGATGTATTTAACCCAGACCGTTTCAGCCCGAAAAACAGGGACAGCAAATCAATCGATGCTTTTCTTGGCTTCGGCAAAGGACCTCGAAAATGTCCAGGTAAGATCATTGAGGGCCATCTGACCGGCCGGCGGTGTTCAATGCAGCAATGTATCCCTGCTTAAAACGATCCATGTTGGAACCATGTTGATATCGTGTTGAGGCCATGCTGGCATCTTGTTGGAGAGTGAAATATTGCACCAAATGCACCATGTTCACGACGAAATGTTATCAACATGGTAGCAATATGGCACGAACTTGATCTCAACACTGTTACAAGTTGGTGCCACGTTGGTTCTTGATGGACAATTTGTGCGATTTGGTAATATATTGAAACCAAATTGATACCGTAGTAAAACCACGTTGACGTAATCATGGTACATGGTTCACTTACCAAAATGATCGGTTTTAGACTGAAAAGACTTCAGAAAAGGATGGAAGGGAATTATTGATTAGACGTGTTTTACAATCAAAACGAAATACTTTCATTTCGACCTGGACTCTGAGATCCATTAGAATAAGACGCTTGACCGGGCCTGGGCTCATTGCATAATAGAGATAGCTTATTTTAAACTAAAAAGTTCGGTAAAAAAATCAAAGCTAGTGTCTGAGTGGTTATAAAATTATTTAAAGTAGAAAAGTGTCCACTTCGCATTGTTTGGATTTGCAAAAAATCCTAAATGAAGCGACCGTGTATTTTTTGTAATCACACTTCGTTTCCCGTGCTACCATTGGGTTCGTTGTCTTTGTAAAGTCCTAAATAAGGCTGGTAATGCAAAACCTAGTAAGCGCTATCAGTTGTTCCTTATTTTATGCAACTGCTTCTCTTATTTAACGAAAATCCGAAACGCCTAAAAGTAATAACCATCGCGTTGAAAATAAGGATAAACTCGAGAGAAATTTTCCAAATAATTAAGCAGTTCATAGAGGAACCCCTGTTGAGACGATCCCATGGGAACCATTGGGCATTAGCCTAGGTTCCCATGGGAGCCTGGGATATGATTTTACATTATGGAGTATGATTTTTGAATTCTCGTTTAATTTTAAATAGGTAACAACGTTGGTCTTCTGATAGCGTCGACTCTGATTGGCTCTCTGGTGCAAAAGTACGAGGTTAGACCACACTCTCACTTGAAGCAAATGGATGCTTTCGATTTCCATCCCCGGAGTTTCGCCATCGTCCATAAAGATGACGTCCTCGTGGACCTCATGCCCCGAGAGGTTCTCGTCCATTGAGCACTGATTGGTGCACTGTATTGCCGAAAGCCATGAACCAATGGCAATTTTCGGAAGTTGGTAACGATGCAGTTCATCCGTTCAAGTGCATCATACTATCGATTAAATATTTATGAGAAGGCATGCCATGTGAAACATTGAATGCCTCAGGTGTATTTGTATGGATAATAGAACTGACAGCATTACAAACTTGCGAGATTGCCTCCGCCTAAAAAAGTACCTAAAATATTAATTCACAATAAATATGTTATTATAAATGATAAACTGATGTTATTAAACTTACTGCTTGAGTTTTACATTTTTCGTGCACTTATTATTCGTTGCGTTGGTATTATCTATGATCACGGTAGTGAGGGCGAGGGCTATCCACTATACATCTTTTCCTACTCTATGACATAAAATCAGCAGAGTTGCGCGTAACGCACTCGCTCTCAGCTCACCTGACTGTATCGGTGAGGGGGGGGGGAGTTTGGACCGCGAAGCGGTAAGGGGGCGTAGTCTCCTAGTTGAAAATGAACAACTTTTGTGTGCTTTAACATCAGTACCTGGATCAGAATAAAGTTTGCTCAAAATATTAAAATATTTATTCGCTCTATGTATGTGAAAGAAATTTAAAAATTTTCAGAATCACTCCAACTGTTATTGAAAGAATAAAATTACATAACTTATGCCAAGCCATCGTTTTGCCTTAATTCAAAGTGCAGAGGGCCCCATTTTTTCGAATTTTGTTTCCATCCATTTCCTGCTAACGCTTGTTGATTTGTTTGTGTCCACGACCTTGGTCTAAAGAATCTATTTGTTTTAAAAATAATGTCGCTTCCGAACCATTGTCCGGAAGATTCAATCTTTCAAGAAATGGAAGTGCGCACCAGGAAAATGTGAACAATGGATCTGTATTGTTAACATTTAAAGAATAGGAACATGAATAATAGGAAATTGCAATTTTTAGAGCACGGATATTTTACTCCCAGTGTTCCTCTTTATCTGAAGATAAGGGGCATACAAAAAGTTCCACGCATAAGAAGCTGTGCTGAACGTCTACAGATATAATCTCTTAATTTTTGGTTCATTCTTCAATTTTGTTGGCTAAGTTCACCATATACTGAGGTAAGTAATGAAAATTGTGAACCTTTCACTATTTTCAGAATCAATTTTTCAAGTGTCATTAGTTGCGCCGTGTGATAAAAGTACACGGCTCCGTTGAGGGAAAGTTACTTGAAAACTGAATGTGCATCTAAGGGGTTTGGAGGCCAAGGCGCAAGTGCAGTTTTTGAAAAAGTTGAGATACTCATGAACTCAACCAAATTTAGTTGGAAAGTATATTCTTTGAAAAATTTACAACTAAAAAACTTCAAAAGGGAATTCAAACTTCCTTTCCGCCATAAGGCTCCATGTAATTTTGACACTTGGATCACGTATCTCTTGAAATAGCGAAAATCGCACTCATACGCCTTGTCCTCCAAGCCTCGCATCATTGATCTCTTCAGAATCTTCAAGGAGGGTAAAAATATTACGTTTTAGCTATGATTTTTGTAAGGACTGTTCCTGGGGTGGCACGTGGATAAGTAGTGTAAAGTGTAAGTGTTTTAGGAATGATAAATCGGCAAAAACTGGCAATATTTAAATCAAAAAGAGATTTGGATTTAGGGTTATAGGACATTTCATCAACGATTTTTTTCCGGGCACTTGTTTTTCCCAGTAGTTTAAGTCCACGCGTTTATTCGGCAGGGGAGTTTTGGTCCACGTACCAATTATTGAGACCCAAAGTTAATTGGTCAACATGTAAATACAAACAACATTTGCTCAAGACGTTTTTGGATGAAATGTATAATGCCTTGGAAGAATGAGGATTTGCTCGTTTCTTGTTTGTATGGTTGGCCAAACGGAAACAAGTATATAATTGAGAATTTTGGCGTCAATTCCATGAAGTAAAATTCATTAAAACTCTGTACACCTCTTTGGTGCAATAGGACTTACTTATCTTTCAAGAAAATCCCATCTTCTTATACCTGAACCGGATGAACCTTTTGATTTTCCTCAGCTAAAGGCTCATAGATTTTTCCCGTGTACTATAACTTCGCGACGGCGCCGGCGTGCCGCGGCGCTTCAAACTACTATTTCGCCATGAAGGTGTTGCAAAGTATCATACAAGATTGAAGGCACCCTAACGTATCATGATCGATGGCATCTTTCAAAAGCACAAAGTTCCCTCGCAAATCAAATCCAAGGACGACGAAAAAAAGAGAGCTGTAGTCGAAAAACTTGCTAAGTCCTAGTATCTGGATCCAGTAACGTTTAGCACGATTTTTGAACTTAATTAGAGGGGAAAAAAGACTTGATTCAAGCAGAAATATGCTCAAATTTACTCCCGAGAAGATTTCCTTATAAATTAATAAAGAAAATAATGCCTGGAAGAAATGCCTTAGAGAAAAAAGGATGCTTAAATAGAAAGAAAAGTCACTTTAGATCAAGCAGAAACCCGCTTTCATTCAGCTATTTTATTCTTGATTCAAAATAAAATCTTCTTGACTGCATAGTCAAGAATGTTTCTGCCTAAATCGAGTCACATTTGTCTCTAATGAAATTCAAAAATTATGCTAAACGTTATTACATACGGATGCTAGGACTAAGTAAGTTTTTTAGATTACCGCCTTCTTTTTATAACGTAGTATCTTGATTTATTTTGCAAGGAAAGCTCTATTACCTTAAAGGAAGCTTGTTATTCTTGATAAGTTGGAGCGCCTTCAATCTCGTATGATACTGTGCAACACCTATGTCGCGAAATAGTTGCTTGAAATGCCGTAGCACTCCGCGGCGCGGCGGGCGACCAGCGTGACATGGGAATAGCATAGGCGCCTACAAACCTAACAGGGATACTTCACGCATTGCGCAACGCGTGAAGTATCCCGTTAGGTTTGTAGGCGCTAGGGCGCATCTCGCACTGTGTTAGGTTCTAGTATTTAATCTCGCGGAGTCAGCGTTTTTCCACTCATGATTTTGAAATTTTTGCACTCTCTGCTCGGATTATTCTCATTTAAATTGATGAAAAAAAAAATTGCATTAAAGGAAAATATAACGTGTGTTTTGAAAATATTAAGGTGGTTCCGTGTCTAATTTTTTTATTTCCAAAGCTTTTTAAATTTTCTTTTATATTTTGTGCTTTTACTGCGCTGCAGCGTGGTGTATTCGCAACCAAACGCTCAAAATTGGACGTGCTTGATTGTAAAAGATCGATGTGAAAGTGGGTTAAAACCAAAGATTGCGTCCTCCTTGGTTTTTCTCTCTCTTTTTCATTTTTGTATAGTTCCTTTCAACACTAATACGGTTCATTGAGATCAATATCGATGCCATCGCTTGGAAAAGGTTTTACAAATATTTGCCAGGTTTTAAAAATATGATGTTTTTAAAATGAAGTAATATTATCATTTAAAAAAAGGTATATATATATATATATACAGTATATTTTATACGGACATCATACGGATAGAGTCCGATTCAGGGACCGGACCCAAGTTCCAAACCGGTCCAAAATTATCCTCGGCAGCTTGGGGGTACACCTTCCGGCCGCTAGCCGGCTGAACCCCAAAGGGCGCTTCGCGGACCCCTCGTGGGTTAATCTAAATAGAGTGGGCTCGTCTAGGGACTATATTCTATCGATAGCCAAAAGCTGTTTTCCAAACTGTGAAAGGAGATCCAATTTTAGCATGATGTAGTAAGATAGTATTTTCATGGTGTTGCAGTAGTAAAAAAATCACAGGATGGATTTCTTAGAGACCCTGATTTCGCTGCCGCCCCTGCTGTACGCGCCCCTTCTTGTGGGATCCCTGTGCTTGGTGTTCAACTACCTGGTCTACTCGCGGCGCGTGGCCCAGTGGCGTAAGTCAAACATCCCTTTCCTGAGCCCGAGCTTCCTCATCGGGCACAAGTACTTCTGGGGCGTCGGGAGCAACTCCGCAACTGTCGTCCCCCTCGATCGCATCTACCGGGAGAATAAAGACAAAGACCTCGTCGCTTTCTTCATCGCCACCATGCCTGTCGTTCTGCTTCGGAAACCGGCACTTATCAAGCAGGTTATAGTTACACGCATTTCAACAGAAGAATTCTATATGCTTTAAGAGTTTTTTAGAAGACATGAAACTGTCCCCGTGAAAAGGTATCTCAGTGACACGGAGTAGCAAGAGAGTTTACGAAACTTGTAAAACATCTCGGAGAGAAAATTCATGGAAATCTCGCTCTAGAGTCCGATAAAGCCCCCAAAAAGAGTCCAAGTGATATGAATGAGAGGTGGAACAAGCCCTTCATGATGGTGAGAAATAGCACGAGAGGTGTGGATCCATTCATATCGATGGGCCCGGAACGGGTCCTTCGGGCGGTGTAAAGACTCCGGAGTAAGTTAGTTAATTATTTTATTACGACGATCAGCAACTTGGCTGATTATGCCAAAGGCCAGGAATTTATCTTAAATTTTTTAATTTATTTGTTTTAAGAGCTTTAAAATTTCAGTAATTATTTTCGGACCATCAGAGCTGAGATATACACCGAATTTCACTCCGAGGAATTGAGAGATCTTTTCCTTTTTGCAGATATTTGCTAAAAATTTTGACGAGGCATTCAAAACTGGAATTGCGGTATCCCATAACGATGAGATTGAACCGCATATGTTGAGCCAATCTTCGAACAAAAGCGTCTGGAAAGCCCACCGAAGCGCGCTTTCGCCCATGTTTTCGACGTCGAGGTTTAGCGGCGAGAGATTCGCCATGATCAAGCACCACATCTCCCACATGTGGGCCCATATTGAGGAAGCGCGCCTCCAAGGGAAGCCTATCAACACCAAGGAGGTTGGTATAATCACATTAAAATAATTCCCTTCCATCAAACCTAACTGCCTTATTTCGCAAAGACAGTTGCTTTAGTTTCGTAGAGCATAGTAATACTTTTTTTTCAGATTTTAGCACGTAATGTAAAAAAAAAAAAAAAAAACCTGGATCGTATATCCAACAGCAGAATTGAGTGGACTCATCCAGAAACTATCACCCGTCCATAAGGCCACACAAATCATGAAAATTGGCCCAGTAGAACAGTGACGGACTTTGATAAAAATAAAAAATTTAAGATAGGAGAGTGATTTTTCTCGTAGTTACACTTTTTTCCCGAGAGAACTGTACCTTAACGCCTTGCTCTTGCAATTTTTCAGATTGCAATGAACTTTGTCCTGGGCAGCGTTTCCAACAGCTTCCTCGATTTGGACTACAACTCGTATGAAAAGGAAGGTGAACTTCGAAAGTTCCTGAAGAGTTTTGTCGACCCAGGATGGGACAAGCTACTGAGCGTATTCACTCAGATGCACTTCCAGGGAACACCGACTTTAGAGTCTTTGAAGCTCATCACTCAAAAGCATATTGAATCCATGAAGAGTTTGCTTCAAAAGCAGATGAAGCTCAGAAATCAGACTGGCGACAATAAAAATGACCTTATTGACCTTCTCATCAGGCTCAAACAACAAGACGGAGATGCGAAACTGGATTCAGGTATCGGAACATTTAACTTGTGTCGAACTCTCTTAGCTGAATGATGACGTAAATTAAGGAATCATCGAGGTCTGGATTTTCCGAGGTTACAAAAAGTTTAAGATACTGAGGTGCGGAATGAAAAATCTTCGAAGCATTGAGGTCCAGGGCCGGATTTAGGGGGTGGCCACATGGGCCGCGGCCTACGGTGGCAAATCTAGGAGGCGGCAAATTTAGCAATTTTTTTAAATGTAGGTATAAATTACAAACGAGAAAAGGCGACAAAATCTCTCATCTTCTGCGAGAATAGTAATTTCTAATTTTGTCGTCTATCAGTTATACAGGACAGCACCTTTAATTGGTCGAGTTATAATAGAGTAACCAAACACGCAATTTGGCCTGGAACGGCTTAGAGAGGAATGATGACAAGGACTCATGATGAAATGGAGAAGCCCTGCTCGGCGCGGCGGTCGGCATGTAACACATATTACCTCCTACAAGACTGCATGAATACTTCACGCATAGCATCAACCACAGTGCGGTCACTGCGGTCAGCGTGAAACGCCTAGCTCCTACAAGAATGCTTGAATACCTCACGCATTGCGCAAAGCACAGTGCGGTCAGTGTGAAACGCATAGCGCCTACAAGACTGCATGAATACTTCACGCACTGCGTCAAAGACAGTGCGTTCAGCAGCGGTCGGCGTGAAACGCATAGCGCCTACAAGACTGTAGGAATTCTTCGCGCCAAACACAGTGCAGTCTGCACGGCGCGGCGGCGGAAGTTGAAATCATTAAACCACATATTTGTTTGTTTTTTCATTATTTTTTCGTTCCTTTATTATAAATGGAGGGCCTCGTCCACACAGAGATAGGTTTACGGAACTTAACTTTCGCGCAAAGTTCCGTGAACTTTTGCTAGAATTGTTGACAGGGCTTTCCCAAAAAGTGTGTCCAACACGAGTAAACGCGTTTTATGCATCCCTCCCCTCCGGCACGTTCACTTGATGGTTTTATTGATGTTTCAAAACAAATGAAAAAGGGGCGGCGAAATACAGGCGGCTCATGGGCGGCAGCGGCAAGTAGGTAAATCCGGCCTTGTTGAAGTGTAAGAAAATTTGTCACATAGAAAGAAGAAAAAAAAGTTAAGATTCTAAAGGCTCACAAAATATTTGTATGCATTCAGGTATGCATGCATCAGGTATGCATTCAGGTTGTATTTTTTCAGGTTTGGTTGTCTTAAATCTCTTTTTGGTCAGAACTTATTTTGCCGCTGAAAAAAAAGCCCGCGTATAATATTCAAGAACTCGTACTACGCATTAGACAAATGGTCCTTAAAGGCGTGGATTCCATACATTCTTTTGTGTTAGATGCGATTTTTGTGCAATTTTACATGAAAAATCCCATTTAATTGACTGTTCCTCTAGTGTGAAGAAATTCCATCTAACTTTTAAATGGCTGAAATGTTGCCTTAATGTTGGAGCTAGTAATGGAGCATATTGAGACTTTAAGAGATACCGTATGAATGGACCACCAAAATTCTTTCTCAGTATTTTCTTTGACCATATCCATTTCAAAAACAAGTATTTAATATTTATAGAGTCCGGAGTCACAGTTGAAATGATAAGTCTTGGGTTGTCCTTGCTCTTGGGAGGTTGCGCGGGCACTAACACAGTCGACAACATGGTGAGTTTTACCATGCACCTTTTGTCCCTCAACCCGAACTACCAGGAGCGAATAAGACAAGAAGTGGAGGATGTCATGAAAAAGCACAACACTACAGAATTTACTTACGAGGTTGTTCGCGATCTTCACTTCCTCAACCAGTGTTTACATGGTGAGTTCAAAACTTAATAATCTTTTCCTTGTACCGAGCCTAGACGCTGAGACAAAAAATATCACTTACGAGTAAGTTTGGTACCTGCGGTTGCCTGATACCTCCATTGCATTTTGCGGTATATTAAACGCGAAGTGTACTAAAGTCAACACAAAATATGGGTTGGTCAGTGTTTCACTTCCTGCATTAACCGCAAGTATTGCATGAATACAGATATTTTTCTGAGTGTTCCGATCAAAGTTCGGATAATTTCTTAATTATGTCATTCAAAATCATCATTGATTATTTTTTCTCTTCTTTCTTCTATGGAATAATTTCAAATTTGTGCGATTCCAGAAACGACACGATTGTTCCCGAATACCTCAGCATTAACTAGGGTCTGCACGGACGACTTCACGCCGGCCGGTACCAACTACACTTTCAAGAAAGGCGAGCGTATTATCGTCGACACGTATTCTATCCACCGAGATCCGGAATACTTCGAGAACCCGAATGTGTTCGACCCGGACCGTTTCAGCCCGAAAAACAGGGACACCAAATCTATCGATGCTTTTCTTGGCTTCGGCAAAGGACCCCGAAAGTGTCCAGGTAAGATCATTGAGAGCCGTTTTTGTAATTTGTAAAAGGTAACATATTGAAACCATATTGATACCATAAAAATACCATGTCGGTACCATGTAAACATGGTACCATGGTTTACTTACCATCACGATCCGTTTAAGGAGGAAAAAACTTGGACTTTCAGCAAAGGGCGAGAGAGAATTATAGAGCAGAGGTATTTTTAAATCAAAAGGAAATATTTTCAATATGGCCTAGACTCAGATACCCTTAAGAATGACACTCGTGACAGGATCCATTGCGCAATTGGGATTGCTTATTTTAATTTGAATAGTCAAAAACCAAAATAAGAGCCACTTTTTGAGTAGTTTATAATTGAGCATTCGTAAATTCCACTAAAAATGGGTCAACTGCGCGTAATTTCGATTTGCAGGCCGACGGTAGAGTCGCTGAAAGAAGCACCCATATGGTTTCTGCATGCAAGCCTCGTTTACCGTGCCAAAATCGGGCTCCTCTTGCCTAACTTGGTTGTCTCGTCTTGTTTATGATGTCTTTGTGGAAGAGTCTTCAAAAAGAGTGGGAATGCAAAGACTAGTAAGCGCAATCATCGTCTATAAGTTTATGCAATTGCTTTTCTCATTAAACGGGAATCCAAAGGGTCTAAAATTAATAATTCTCAAGTTGAAAATAAAGATAAAGTTTAGAGATAATTTCCCAACAAGCAGTCCATAAATGAGCCTCTGTCGAAACAACCCTATGGGAATCATTGGAAATTGGCCTAGGTTCCTATGGGAGCCTGGGGGATTTTAAATTACAGCGTATGATTTGTAAATTCTTGTTTAATGTCAAATAGGTAACAACGTTGGTCTCCTGATTGCGTCGACTCTGATTGGTTCTTTGGTGCACAAGTACGAGGTGAGACCACACTCTCACACGCAGCAAATGGATGCTTTCGATTTCCATCCCCGGAGTTTCGCCATCGTTCATAAAGATGACGTCCTCGTAAACATCTTGCCCCGAGAGGTTCTCGCTCACTGATCACCGATCACTGATCACTGATTACTGATTACTAATCAGTGCAATAGGGTGCACTACGAGGCTATAGGGTTAATTCGGCCTTGGTCGCTAAGAATTCGATTAATGTCTAATATAATTTCAGGTCATTTATTAATAGTTCTTTTAGGAAATTGTGGGTTTTATGTATTTTTGATTCAGCTAATTTTGTTTCTTTTTGAGTTTTTTGTTTGTTTTATTCAAGCCTTTGTATTTTCTGTTTTGTTAACTCTTTATTCTAGTGAAATTTAAATTTTAGGTTGGGTTCACCAAATTCTATTTTATTTAGTCCAAAACTTTAGTAAGATCTTACTTATCTATAGTGATCTATAGTGATCTATAGTGATTAGTGCACCTTATTGCCGAACGACTTGAACTAATGGCAATTTTTGGAAGTTGGTAACAATGCAGTTCATCCTTCCAAGTGCAACATAAGCTTTCGATAAAATAGGTTAAAAGGAAGGTCTGCCACGTGAAACATCGAATGTCTCAGTGCACTTCCACGGATGGGACTTATATGGTATTACAAACTTGCGAGATTATCTTCGCCTAAAAATGTCCCTAAAATATTAATTTACAATAAATATATAATTATAAATGATAAACTATTGTTATTAAACTTACTGCTTGAATTTTACATTTTTCGTGCACTTACTGTTAGTCATGTTGATATTATCTGTGATTGAGTTAGTAGTCCGGGAGCACATGTAGTCCCGTGGGACCGTTAATGATACAAGTTGGCGAGATGGCTTGATCTCTTCGTCTTGATGTCCTGAAACAGAATTTCGATGCTGCCAGGCTCAATTTTTCCCGGAACACCCTCAAATTCAAGATGGCGCCCAAAATGGCCGCCACGGGGGTGAAGTGGGTGAAAGTGACTCCCATATATGGTCGACATGTATGTCGATTCCTATGTATTTTTGGTCGAAAATTTCAAATATATGCTTAAAAATTTACTCCGACTTCTTAAAGACCCTTAAATCCAAGATGGCGGCCAAATTTCCCCTCCTGAAAGTCAAACGGCCACGTGTGCTCCTATATGGCATGTGAGGTATCTTTCATACCATTTTTTGGGCCGTAAAATCGAAAAATGATTTTAAAAAATCCTTTGCGATTCATTTAAGGCCTTAAATTACAAGATGGCAGCCAAAATTGCTGAAATTTTGGAACCAAAAATTCTATAATAGCTTCTCATATCATGTGACGTATCAAACCCCATAGATTTCCAGTCGTAGAATCCAAATCTTGAATTCAAAATTCACCCCGGCCCCCTGGGATGTCCAAAATCCAAGATGGCCGCCGAAATTATCCCTTACAGGATCATACAGTCAGCCTTGACCTTAGAATAGCAAGATATGTATCCATTTACAGGTTTATTGGGTCGCAGAATTCATAAATGAAGGTTGAAGTAACCTTCCTTTTACAATTTGCGACATTTTAGTTTTAAGAATTGCGGCTAAAAGG